TTTGGTGGTTGGTCAGTGCCCCTGGGCACTCCATGGCTCATTGCTGTCAGTGCTGCTCACCTGCTGCTCACAGCTGTGCCCACTGGGGATGAGGCTGGCCCACAGCTACACTTCCAATTATCACAAACTGTGTGCCTACATCCTGGAGGATTTTTTATAATTTGAATATATTTGTCTGTGCCAGAGACCCTTGGTCATTCACACAAAAGCAGGTTCAAACTGCAGACTTGCAGCAAGCTCATTCCTCTAAGTCATGCACATCCCCAGACCAAGGTCTAGGTATTGATTTTGGTTAAAAAGAGGAGTGGTTCAGAGAGAGGTAAAGGTGTCTGATAAGGAACACCTCAGGGTCTGGCTGCTAACCCTGGCAACATCACATTCACATGGGGGGCTCAGGATCAGTGGTTTCAGAGCTGCCCTCAGGTTGAGGCATCCAGCCCTTGTCTCCTGATGCAACAGCTTCAGAGGAGGTGACTGGCGTGCTGCTGTGCCTACGGCACCTGGTTGGGATGTTCTGTCTTTACAAAACTTGGACCTGCAGCCCAGGTGGTACTCAAGTCCTGGCTGGACATGGGGGCTGAAGCACCTGGCCTTAGAAGATGTTTCCTTGTGAATGCCTCAAAAGGGGAAAGCCCATCCTTTGTAAATATTTTTTCAGTATCTCTTCAATATGTTCAGTGTTTCACTTCAGCTTCTTCAAGAAAAGAATCCTAAAGAAAATTCCCAAGGGTGAGGAAGATGGTGATCTTTCCATCGTAATCAGGATTTTTAGTAAAAAACCCCATTTATCTGAAAGGCTCCAAAAGCTAACTATTTTAGCTTTGACCCTTTGGCAGCCTCTGGAACATGCCCTGCAGAGCATCATTAGGAAAATGGTTCCTTGCAGATTTTGAAATAAAATACATAAACAAGGAAAATAAGAAGGGTCTTGCAAGTTCAGAGGCAAGTTGGGATGCAAACATGGGATCAGGGCAGGACAAATGAATGACAGAGGAGTTACCCCAGGTCTGCTCTCTGATCCAGGTCCTTCAAAGAATCTATGGTTATAAGTTTTTTAGGGAATTGATGGAGTTAGAATCTTCTCTTTAGAAAGATTACATGCTAACTTGTAAACCAAACAACATACAATCAACAAGAGTCCATCTGGTTCAATAGAAATAGATCTTTATTAATAACATGCACATCATACGTATATTTAAAATACATATACATTTTTTCTACTATTCACTTTAGAAAACAATTTCATAAAAACCTTCAGTCAGGTCCCAGGTAATTTTAAACATTAAAAAGCTTTTTTTTGTTACAGAACCAGTAGGTATTATTCCAATTATTTGGTGTATAATCACCATGTATTTAACATAATGCAGGCTCATGCATTTCAATAGAAATAGGTGTTCCCTTCTCTGCTTTGTCAGTCGTGTCAAATATATGATGATATACTTGACAACACCTGCCACAGTTGCTATATGCAGTTGTGATTCCCTCCTGGGAACATTCCACAGGTGGTATTTAAAATCTGGAGACAACTTTTTTACAACTTTCTGAGTTGCTACAAGGGGCTCCTGGTGCTGCAGGCAGCCCAGAGCCCAACTATGGCAGAAACCAGAAAAACAGAATTTCATGAATGTCGGAGAGGAAAGCAATCTGAATAAAGAAAACAGGAAATTGGCAGATCCCCTCTTGTGTTCATGGCAAACTGAGGTCAGGGTTGGGTTTCCCAAGGTCCTGCCAAGTACCAAATCAGATCTGGAGAGAGTGCACGGAGATACCAGCGATGGACGGTTTGCGGATTTACAGAACATTTACAGAGGCTCGAACGAGGGTGGGACTTTAAGGCACAATAGTCCATATACTCACACATTCATTGGAAAACAGAAGTTCAGTTTACAGTGCAAGAGAGGTGTGTTGGAGAGCTGAAGCAGCAGCTCAGGGTCACTGTCACCGATAACATGGCAATTGAGGGGGAGCTGGCAGCCCCAGTCCCACACAAGCTCGTGCACATGCTGAGCATCAAGCACACAAGGAGCCTCTCAGGAGGCTCTGAGTGAGGAAATCAGGTGATAACCCAAGCATTTACAGGATCAGGGCCCTAATGTCACAGAAGCATGGAATCATGGAATGGTTTGAGTTGGAAGAGACCTTAAAGACCGCCCGGTTCCAACCCTCCTGCCATGGGTGGGGACACCTGCACCAGGGCAGGATGCTCAAACTCAGTGCTGGGGCTCTGCACCAGACCCCACCCACACCCACACTGTGGACCCCACCTATGTCCAGCCAGAAAAGCAGCACAAAGAAAACTCAACTCATAGAAACACTAATTACAGCCAAGTGTGCTGCTGTTCCCAGGTGGAAATGAAATGTCCCAAGCCAGTCATTTTCAAAATGATCAGCTCTCCTCACCAAGTCTGTCCTTGTTACCCAGCTCATCTATATTCCCTCTGATGAATATTCCATCTCCAAGGCAACTGAGTCAAAGGGAAGCAAGGACTTTCTTTACATCCAGTGCAAACATAGCCCATATGTAGGAGTTCCTAATGCAGTCATAATAGAACATATATATATATATATAAAAATCTATCTCACTGAAAGTTGACCACCTACAGACAGATTCTCACATCAGAAGCCAGAAGAGCTGAACTGTAGCTACAAACCCAAAAAAGAAAAATCATCGCTGTATGTAGCTGTATTAAAATGCTGGTACCCAGTAACTTGGCAACTAAATGTTAAAATCAATATAAGTATATAATTCAAAAGGTGTCAAGTATTTTGGGAGTCACTTGCAATGTTATTGCACATTTTTACTTCTTTATCACCCCATAAACTATTTTAAGCATTCAAATCAAAATTTTCAGACCCACTTTTCAGCAGCACCAATCACTGGGCAAAGCAGAAGGCAGTAAAAACTGAAGCAGACTTAAAGCATATAGAATAGTGAACCTTTGATTCAATTCCATATCAAAAATTCAACCATAAAAAACTCAATTTGTTCTCTAGAAAGAAATAATCCATTTTAACACCTCCTGGAGCAAGGGAAAATTAAAAAAAAAAAATTAGAGACAATGTGTTTTCTTCAAGAAAACAGCACATGAGAAAAACATGAGTAAATTATCATCCTCTGTCCTAGGTAGCCCAAGGAGTTTTGTGACCTGATGCAGATTTTTGTCTGTTATATCTGTTCAGTTATCACAATGCCTTCACAGAGAAGCTTTCAATAGGCAAGAAAGTATTTCCCTCTTTCAGCAGGCAAAGAACCTCTTCAAAGGTGAATCTGACAGGGCCAATTTTTTTTTGTTCAGGTGAGGTTAAAGACTTTGATCCTACTAAGCTTTTTTCATTACATTGAAATGTTTCTAATTTTAAGTTAAAAGATTTGTTTATTCAAGCCAGAGCCATCCTATGAATATAAAAAGTCAGCCAGCAAGAGAAAAGAAGCATTTAAGCATTTCCTGTACATGCTGGATCGTTATGAAATCAAGTGAAAATGGACACTAAGAGAAAAAAAATTGCATAACTCAAACCACTTCAGAGTGGAAAATTACATGGTTTGAAAAATCAGAAGACAGGAGCAATTTTCCCTCACCATTCCCCCAGCCCTGGGGTGGCACGAGGCGTTCCCAGTGCCATGGAGGCCAGGGAGCTCCTGGGGGACAATGGCACCTCTGACAGCAGCAAATGGGCTTCTCTGCCAGCTCTTACTGCTCACACTGGGGCTGTCCTACACCCCTGAGCAGCAGCCTGGGCTCTCCCAGCCCCCTGTTGAAGTGAGCCTGGCCCCTTCCCACTGGAAACTTCTCAAACCGCATTGAAACCGTTTCTCAAATCATGCAACCGGACCAGCTGCATGATTTTGGGCTGGTGCAAGCCCAGGGGCAGCAGGAATCAAACCATGCACAGCCAGGAAGCTCTGAGGCTGAACTGCACTGGCTGAGGATTGAAAGACAGCCTTTTCTAAGAGATAAGTAAATATGACTTGTCTCAAAGCAAAAACAGAGATCTGAACATTCATCATGACTAGCAGCACCTCCCAAACAGCACTGCCCTGCTTTTTCAGCCTTCCCACAGTGTCTGAGATGTTTATATTCTCCAGTTTGCAGGTTATCCTTGTTTTGAATTACACTGCTGACATTAATTTTTTTTTTTATTAAAAAAAAATCTGGATTTTACTGTGTCTTTCTGTCTCCTAAACCTGTAGTGACTTCTAACTACTGACACCAGAGTTAAGTTTGTTCTTCACACCTTTCTGCTTTTGCCTTTCCTCCAGCACTAACACGTGCCTGGGAGCTGTGATGATATGTGTGACACACGACCAGGGTGCTCTGAGCAGGGTGACAGGAGGAATCTGACACAAAAAGCACATTCCTGGCAAGCCACAGCATTTGTTCACACTATATAATGCTTTAGAAATAGCATCAGCCACATCTGCAAGAGCAAAGCCTTTCAAAACAAATAAAAAATTTGGTTCTTAGATATATATGTATATATATATATCTGCCTCCAGCTGAGTGTGCACTATTATTTACTTTGTTTTAAAGCTTTAAAGTGGTGATAGCCAGCGAGGCAAAGCCAACAGACCTGCAGGACTTTGACAGACTTTGAACCATCTCGTGTATTTGTTCAGCAGTTCTGGGATGCAGGTCCCTGACAGCTAATTTACAGGCTCATTAATCACATTCCCCCAGATTATAGTGCAATCTCTGCTTCTGGCCCCATGGCTGGAGCATCATCCTTTCCCTAATGTTACTCTTTGGTATTTTCATGACGTAGCTTTGGCAGCTGTGAAACTTTCCACTTGTAGTCATTCCGTTTGCTGAACATCCCACATGCCATAGCTTGTGAAATATATATATTTACATATTTTAAAGTTAATTCCCAGATTGAAATTAGACATTTCACTTAACCTGAAACATTATTACTAGTGCTGAGCAGTTTTATCAGGAGAGCCTCTGAGGTCTTACCATCATCTGTCAGATACATTCATTCTCTATCTATGAGAGTTATCATTGTTTTTCTGCCTTTTATAGTCCACATAAAAAGAAATTGCTGTCTATTCCCTAGCACCAGTGTGAACCTCGGGCCAAACAGCAAATTAGCATGCAAAGAAGTATTCAGGGAAACAGCTAGGGAAAGAGGCAAATGAAGTTAAGGGAACACTGATGATGGGCTGAAGAAACAATCTTTCCTGTGAGTCATTCTGGTTTGCATTAAAATAGCAAAGTAGATACCAGCTAAGAGATAATATAAGTAAAAAGTGAATGCAATTATTTTTTAAAAAAACCAACCCACAAACCCTTGCAAATCTCAGTACAGAGTGTCTGTAAGTAGCAAGCGAGTTCAGTCTCTGAAAATCCTAAGCTAAAGACTGATTCCTTTGGCACTGACTCCTTCATGGTCAAAGCAATTCTCAAAGAAACTTTCTGTCTATAATTTTATAGCAGATAACTTGTGTTTTACTCCTCACTGTTAGACTACTCCACTGCTTTGGGGGCTCCCCTTGCACCGGGGATGGCGGAATTTAACTGCGAAAGGGATTGGGAGCATCCGTATCTACACACAGGTGACTTCAAGTGCAGCTTTGTTTCTACAAACCGCCTTGCACGCAGTCTCTGCAGGTTTAGGACCTCTGTCTTGCACCTTTCTGTGTGCACAGCAAGGTGCTTCACACCGGGGGTTAACAGAGCATTATCCAAAGCACCTTCCACTCAGCTCCCTCTCCGCCTCCCAATGATCATCGCAAACACCTCTGCAATCAGTGCCTCACCTCAACACCTCAACAAGCAGTCCAAGCATTCAGAAACAAACATCAGTGGGTCTAACAGCTACTTTTTTAATTCATTTTATAAATAAGCAACTGAGGATTTTGCTCCAGGTGGCTGCCCGTGTAGCCCATGCCGTAGACGGCGCTCTCTGCGGAGTAAGGCACGATGCGATACGAGTGCAGCTCTTCATAATAGAGCGACTGGGAACAGCACTCCTGCACCATCAGCTTCAGCCGTTTTCGTGCGTCAGAGTAGGCAGTCCTACAGCACGGAGCCTCCTTAAAGTATTCATAGCTCTCCCTCTCTGTCTCTAGGTGGATCTTCCTCAACAGATTGTTAATTAATACCGACCTACGGAGATAGGCCTCGGGGTCGTCCAGGAAGCGCAGCTTCTGCAGAGACAGTTTTAGGATACAAGTCCGGTCCTCTGGTAGTATCAGGTGCTGGGGAGTGAATGGGTGGGTCTTTAGCATCAAGGAATGAAATTAGGGGGAGGGTTGGGGTCTGGAGTGAGGGAGATACTCACTTTTGGACAATACTTATGGTGATCTTTCAAGGAATGAAATTAGGGGAAAGAGTGAGGGAGATACTTTCTTTCAAGGAATGAAATTGGGGGTCTCCTCTCAGTGAGGGAGATAATTTCTTTCAAGGAATGAAATTGGGGATCTCCTCTCAGTGAGGGAGATAATTTCTTTCAAGGAATGAAATTGGGGATCTCCTCTCAGTGAGGGAGATAATTTCTTTCAAGGAATGAAATTAGGGGTCTGGAGTGAGGGAGATACTCACTTTTGTGCAATACTCACGCTAATCTTTCAAGGAATGAAAGTAGGGGAAGGGTTGGGGTCTGGAGTGAGGGAGATCCTCACTTTTGGTCAATACTCATGGTAATCTTTCAAGGAATGAAATTGGGGGAAGGACTGAGGGTGATAATTTCTTTCAAGGAATGAAATTAGGGGTCGGGAGTGAGGGAGGTCCTCACTTTTGGACAATACTCATGATAATCTTGCAAGGAAATGAAGTTAGGGGGAGGGTTGGGGTCTGGAATGAAGTAGATATTCACTTTTGGACAATACACATGGCAATCTTTCAAGGAATGAAATTAGGGGAATGGTTGGGGTCTGTAGTGAGGGAGATACTCACTTTTGGACAATACTCACTCACTTTTGGACAATACTCATGGTAATCTTTCAAGGAATGAAATTAGGGGAAGTGTTGGGGTCTGGAGAGAGGGAGATACTCACTTTTGGACAATACTCATGGTAATCTTGATGTAAATGTTCTTCTTCTGCATATTTTCTCTTAAAGTAAGCTACTTTCGACGTCGTTAATGTCTTTGGTAGGCCCCGATCAGATCAGCTCTGCACAAAAGAGGAAAAAGAAAAGTCAGCATTGGCCAGGGTGGCTGCAGCATCAGAGTCTGGAGTGTGCAGGGCAAGGAGGGATCCAGAGGGGTTCAACAATCAGCCTGCAGCCCTCAACCTGCTGGAATCATAATTGAGAGGCCGGCAAATGTGAGGCTGTCTCTGAAACAGCCACCCTGAGCTTTGCCAGCACAGCCAGCCCCTGTCCCCTCTCTGGAGTGACCACCACAGCCCTGGGCACAGGCAGGGTCTCCTGTCCTACAGCTGAGCGGGTGTCAGGGCAGCCACAGCCCCACGGAGCAGGCAGGAGATGCCCGAGGTGGGAATGTCCCTGACCAGGATGGGGCACCTGAGTGCAGGACAGGACACCCTGTGCCCTGCTGGGGGGGGGGTGGGGTGGGTGAGGATTGGGGTTTGATTTCCATCCATCACACACGGAGCTCCGTGGCTTCCCTGGAAAACCAATGCAGAGTGCTCTCACTAGATGGTGGTGTTGTCTCAGAAGAGCAGCAGAGCCCCGGTTCAGTGGGAGGGTGGTGGGGTGGGTTTGTACTCCGGGTGGCTTCAGTTTTGCAGGGCACAGAGGATGGAGAGTCAACATTTGGGATAAGAAAAGGAATTTATTGGGCTTTTGTCCTGTGGCAGGAGCCATGGGGAGGTCTGTTCCTCCAGAGGACCAGGGCTCTCTGGGCTGCCTCATCTGAGCTTGCTCATCTCCCTGGAAAGGTGACATGGTGCTAATTCAGCATCTTAATGAGGTGCATAATTCCAGTGGTACTCAGCCTGGAGAGCACTGGGTCCCTGTGACAGCCAGGACTGGGCTTTGCTTGGCTATTCACCACAAAACACCAGGACCCTGTGCAGTTCTGGGAAGCACAACCTCCTCCCAAACCCTCCTTTTTACAAGAAATTTATGTTATTTGCTTTTAAATGTACTTTAAAAAAATTAAAAAAAAACCAAAAAAACCACAAAAAACTACAAAAAAACCCACCATAAACAAAACCACCAAAAAAACCCCAAAACCAACCAAACAAAAATGAAAAAAAAAAACCAAAACAAACAAACAAACAAACAAAAAAACCCGGAAAAAACACCCAAACTTTATTGTACTGATGTCTAAAGGCAATCCAGGAAAAGAAAGTATCCAGAGACACCAGGTCCTATGGAAAATATTTTCTCCCCCAAATTGAGATCTCTTTATGGGAGCATTTGAAACTTTGATTTTCTGAAGAAATAAAGGCTTTGGTTCCCTGACACAATAGAAAAGCAATATTGTATTTCAGAGCCAGAACACAGACCTCGTGTTGCTGGAAGGATCCTTCCATGGGGCATGAGGGGCTCCTTGAGCCTCAGCTGCTGCTGGGGGTGCTGAGATACCCACAGAACCATTCCAGGCACTGACAGCATCTCTCCTTCACTGGCAGGAAGGAGCAACATGTCCTCCCTTCCTTCTACATCAAAAACCCACAAGAAGGGGCTGGAGAAGAAATTCCTTCAGTGAGAGGATCCTTGCATTTTCTCACTGAATTTTAAGGATGGAGGTTTTTCTGATGAAGGAGAAAATGGAGAAGGAGATGAAGGATTCTGCAGGTGTGTGCAGAAAACTGACAGGTGGATTGAAACCCCATTTGGAGTCAAGACCCCTCAGCCCTGCCCTGGGACCCATCAGGCCATGGGCTGCACTTCAGAGCAGCATTTCTCCAGGAAAGGGACTATTGCTCTTACAGTGGGACCACACTGCCAGGCTGCCAAGGTTCTTGCTGCCTTGGACCCTCACACACATCAGAGATGCTCCCAGCACCCAGCTCAGCTCTCAAGAGCAAGGGCAGGGCGGTGGTCTTCACCCCTCTACTGGCACAGCTGCAAACACAGCTTTAAATTCATGTGCAGCAACCTCCTCTGCCTGCAGCTTTCATTCCAATATTTGAGTTACCCCAGAGCCTGGGCAGCCTGGATATTTAATTACTCTGATATCGTATTCTCCTAGGTGAAACCTCACTGTGCTGTGTTACCTGAGCACAACAAATGCATTCATCTCCCAGTGCCACGGGATGGGAGAACATTTCAGCTTTCCTCACACTGCTCTGAGGAAAACAAAGGTACAGACAGATGAAGTGACATTCCCAGAGCCACCCAGGCTGTCAAGGCTGGGAAAGGAGCCAAAGCCAGCACACAGGTAGGTCCCTTCCTCAAACCAAACCTCTAAATGCTAAAACACACTCCCTAGTGCTTTTCAGGGAAAAGGCTGGAAGCACAGCCTGCGTGCAGAGGAAGCAGAAAATCACCCTGAGTGCAGGGGCAGCACAGACAACCACAGCATAAAGAGCATCTCAGCTCAGTTCTGCAGCTCCCCCAGCTCCATGCAAAACTCTCCCTTGCTGGTCCAGGCCACGGGAATTCCTCTCCCTGCCCCAGAGATGGAGGGTGACTGAAATTCAGCATCCCCTGAGCACACCTGGTGCAGGAGACATCAGGGAAGGGAAGGGGCTCTGGCAGCCTGTGGCTGGGAGGGAAGAAGGGCTGTGGGTTTGCACATGCCACGGGCTGGCTGGCAGGAGCAGAGAGAAAAATTGTATTTTGCTGAGGGACACACATGACCATCCTGGCAGAGGGTTCATTGAGCACCCAGCTGGCACCCCCTTCCTGGGTTTAGGTTCAGCACCAGCCTGTGACACACCCCTGGCTGGCAGAATTTAAATTCCTAAATAATGGTTGGCTGAATTGAAATTCCTTACGTCAGCTAAAGCAGCAAAGTTGTCACAACCCCCTCACCCCAACACCCACAACTCAGTTTAGGAGCAAGGAAGAGAAACAACAACCGAGCAAACACCAAGAGCATCTCTAGGCTCTGTAAGTTTGGCTTGAAATGTGTTCCCAGTTTTAAATGAAAGACTACATTTGAGGAGCAAAGTCGCCCCAAGCTGCTCAACACCACACCATCTGTCAGCAAATCCCAGCAGCTCCAAATCTGCAGAGCTTGGAGCACCCACTTCCCAGCTCAGCAGCTCCAGGGGCTGTCACAGGTGGCTCAGCTCAGCTCCCCAGGAGCAAAGGGTGCTGCCTGCACACCTGCAGGGTCAGACAGGGAGCTGGAGGCACCCAAGTCCCATCCCAGGGCTGCTCTAGAGGAGTTCAGGGTCTGCTCTTGTGATCAGTGCAGCTGCCATCCCACCACCCCTCATTCCATCACCATCATCTCTTTTGGCTGCTGCTGGTGCCCACACATCTGCCTGCAGGTTCAGCACCAGCCGTGCCCTCAACACCAGCAGTGATGCTGAGCCCTCCAGGGACCCCTCTCCATGCAGGAGGCTCCCAAGGACCCAGTCTTTCTCTAATCTTCACTGGAAATCAGCTCTCTGTGGCTCTGTGCGTGCCTGGGAGCTGCTTGGCCGGGGTTACAGCCACCCGGGGCTGTAGTAATGCCGCAGTGAATCAGACCCTTGGCGTTTTGTTTAAATATAAACACATTGAATCAGTGCTTTCTGTGTAGAAGGCTATTCTCGCCAGCCAAGTGTTTTGACAGCTCCAGCGAGGTGCTGTGAGTCACTGCCTCTGCCTCACTCCAGCTCAGAGACAGATACATCTTAATCACATTACGTTTTCTCCAGCGCTTCACCACAAGTCAAGGCACGGGGCCAAAAACCTCCCAACCAGCCCAGCGCTGAGTCCCCAGCCTGAGCTTTGTCCTCCCAGCCTGGATGAGAGTCGGGAAAGCGCATCCAGCATCCCGGCAGCGCTCAGCCCCGAGCTGAGCTTTGTCCTCCCAGCCTGGATGAGCGTCGGGAAAACGCATCCAGCATCCCGGCAGCGCTCAGCCCCGAGCCCTGCGCTGCTCCCCGAGGGCTCGGTGCAATTTGCACCGTGGGATCGGCAGCCCCAGGGATGCCCGGGGTTTGCATCCCGGAATGCGGGGCACACCGGCTGGAGCTGCCATTAGCGCTAATGGGAGTTCGGAGTAGAAATCCCACTCGCGGCAGTGGGGGAATAGATAAAGGGCTGCCTCTGTCTCAGGCTGAGAGCTCTCAGGGTCAGCTTCGCCAGGGTTTTAATTGTAATTTCAACAGAGCAAAATGTGTCTGTTCCTGTTTGTTTCTCCGGGAATGATTGTGGCGCTCTGTGGTGTGGTACTCGCAGAGTTATTAGGCGTGTTTGGACAGAGGTCTGTCTTATCTAAATCGGGTTGGAAATAGATTTATATCTTGGCAACTTCCCGTTTGAACTGCAAATTGCAGCAAAGTCGCTTCAGCTGCGCTCCTGCATCGCCCCGGTGACAGCAGCCCCTCCTCGGCATGAGTTAATGCCGGGCGATTTCCAGTCTACCCGAGACAGGAGCTAGAACGGGGTTTAAAAAATAATTGAACATCCAGGAAAAAAAAACAACACCTGAGCGTGTGCTCTTGCATCTCAAACAGCAGAGAGGGATCTGCAAGCCCCGTCACAGAACTTGTTACATGAGCCCTCGGCAGCATCCCCTCACCTGCCTGCTCTTGCACCTTCCCTGCCTTTCCTCGGGAGGAAAATTCCTCCCTGCCTGCTCAGCGCTGCAGAGAAAGGGCTCGTCCGAATCGATGCTGTTTGGTTGTTGATGCAGACACCTGCAGGGGGTGAGCACGGAGCCGGCCCCGCCGGGCTGGTGACTCAAATGTGCCGCTGCCCTGCAGGGTTCCCATCGCAGCCTGAAGGAGAGCGATCAATATGCGAGCTACGGCTGCCTGAGCCGAAGACCTTCACCGAGCATCCCCTGTGTGCTCAAACACAAAACCTGAGGCTCCTGAGCACACAGAAACCGGCCTTTATCATCAGCAGGAGATGTGACTTTGACATGGCAGGACGCATCATCGTGTCCTTGCTGCTGCTGTCAAAGTGCGGTGACAAACTCCCCCGTCCCCAACCTTCGGAGCCGTCGCAATTAGGGGGTGCTCAGCTGAAACGTGCTCCTGCTTTCACATGCTCTGCTGCCGCTTTTCTCCTCTCCTAGGGCAGCACAAGCAGCTGGTCCCACTGTGGGATTCCCAGCTGATCATGCAAAGCTACCAGACCACGGGCAGATGAACATGTGGATCGAAAACACATGCCAGCACCGGGATTTCACACGGCTGCCAATCGATGGCAGCCCTTCTAAGCATATCGAGCCCCCCTAGCATATCGAGCCTTATCAGGCAGAGCAAGCCCCCTTTCACTGCCTCACGGGGAGCTGGGGACCCCCAGCCGCACTCCTGTCTGCTGGCTTTGCACTTTAAAACCGCCTTTTAGCTTGCTGATTGCTCTGCAGAGCTCCCTAATTGCAGATGCTCCCTGGGCACACATGTGTACAAGGCACAAGCATCTGAATGGCCCTCGTGAGGGCATGAAGGCATGAGACTTAATGGCTGAGTGACTATTCCTGTCTCCCTCCTCAGAGTCCCACTGCTTTCCCCTACAGAATAAATTAATAATTCCAGGTTCACCCCGTTTCGACATTAATCTCGGTAAATTCCCTCACTCCGCCCAAGCAGCTGAAGTTTGCAAACTTGTTCGTTACCTGAGGGTGCGGAGTCAGTCTGCAAAGGGTCGTTCTGGGGTAATCTCAGCAGTTCTGGTAAGATTTCCCCCTCGCACGGGCTCAGCGAGCATTTCTGGCAGCACGGCACTGCTGAAGGGTCACCTGCCGTGGTGGATCAAGGAGAAACACTCATGGCTCAGGTGGCAAAATCAGGACAAACACGGCGAGCAGCTGGACCACACGAGGACAAAGTGCTATTTCAGCATCCCCACAGGGCTTAGTAACAGGGATAAATAAGAGTTCTGCTGTTACACCCAATTCTCTAACTTTGACCTTGCTTTCTGGAGTCCCTTTCACACATCAGGAAAGCAGATAAAACATTAAGAAAAAAAACATTTCAGTCTCTCAGTGGTGTAGCTATAATCCACTCAGAGCAAATGCTGCAAAAATACAGCTTGCTCCTCTAAATATCCGGATGTTTCTGGAGCTAGAACATTAATTCTGCCCCAATCACCTCTTAAAATGGCACATTATTTTCTCCATTAATTCTTGTCAACCTCAGAGGAAAGCTAAAGGGCTGCTATTAAAACCATGCCATTATTTTGAGTAGCAGCATTAATTCTCTATCATACACACTCACACTGCCTGCAGAGCAGCACAGGTCTGGGGAAAGTCAGATTCCCGTTTCTCTTTAACAGGGTGCACATTTCAGAGTTTGCCTGACATACATTTTCCAGGCTGATGCCTTGCCTTCCGGGTGAAGTATTTGGCACGCTGTAGTAAGAACATCTCCCACTCTCATGGGGGAAAAAACCACCACAGATACATGTGTACACCTAAACTCTGCACTTTTACACGTGTGTGCCAGAGGCACTCAGAGTTTTTGAGCCCATGAACGAAATTAGACATGTCTAAATGCTGCAAGAGAGAAAGGAAAGGAGAGCTGCTCTGTGTGTGTACTCGTGTCTCGCAGCTATAAGACAACTAAATTTAGACAGTTGTGTCATCCCAGAGGATGACAGCATTAACAGGCGATGGAAAGAGGAGCTATGGTTACTTTGCAGAGTTCAGCTCTGACCGTAAAAAGAGGACTCTGATGGAAATGACCTTTTCTAGAGTCCGGCAGAGCAGCAGCACCTCTGCCCGTGGCACTGCGGGACGCGCGGAGCCTCCCCCGGCTCGTCCCTCTCCCGCGCTGCAGCAAAGCCACGGGAGCTCCCAAACAAACGCAAAACTTCCTCTGCACGCCAGCAGCCACCTGCTAAACCCTCCGGAGCAGATCCCGCCAGTAAAGCCCCGCACCACCTCCCTGACACGGCAACAACATCTCGCTGTCCCCGGGCACCGCGGGCTCGGTGTCACTCACCCAGCGAGCCCCGGCTCCAGAGGGAGGGAGCGCTGCTCCGTCCTTCCCTCGCTGCTCCTGGCGGAGGTGGCGGCGGTGCTGCTGGCGGCGGCGGTGGCGGCTCCTGCGGGTCCCTGCAGCCACTGAGGAGCGCATCACCTCCCGGCCGCAGCCCGCGGAGGTGGGTGCCCAGATGTTCCCCGCGCGGATTGGTCCAGCGGGAGCAGATGTTGCCCGGTTGCTAGGAGCGTTGCTAGGAGCGCTGCTAGGAGACGGTGACGCTCTCTCCATCACTGGCGCGACTCGAGGCCGCGGGGAGGGAGGGAGGGAGAGGAAGGGAGAAGGAGGAGGGGAGGAGGGAGGAGCGGGTCCCCACCGCCACCGGGATGCTCCGCGCCGGGCCGGGCTGCGGGGTGAGCCGGAGGATGGAGCGGGTGCCGCGGCTCAGAGCGGGACAGGCGGTGAGGAGCTGCCAGAACAGGGAGGGGGGAGCAGCCCGGGGATGGGGAGGGCGAGGGGACCATAAAAGCTCCCTTCAGGGCTGGCTGAGGGATGCGCGGAGCGGGCCGGCAGCCGCGGAGGCGCCCGGCGCTCGCTGCGGCACTGAGAGGGAGAGCTCTGCTCTTCAGGGAAAGACCGGGAGAAATACAACCCAGTGCCTGGAAGGGCTGCAGGGAGAGGACTCCAATTCGGTCCTGCTGGCAGAGACCAGCTCCTTTACTGGGTCATGTTCCTTACTGGGACATGACCTTCTGCTCTCTTACTGGGTCATGTTCCTCTTCCCTCCTGATTTATGATTCTCCCTTTTCCCTCCATCAGATCCTGGCCCACTTTTTCCCCTGAGCTTTTGGGATGTTCCACCACGGTGCCCTGGGTCCCACCCTGGCACACCCATGATCCCATGGCCAGAAATTGGATTATTGGAGGATAAAAAGCTGCACAGCAATACTACCCAGACCTCCTCTCAAATAAAAGAGCAGGTCACTGTGGGGTAGGACAGCTCCTGCATCTCAGACAGATTTTACTGCTGAGCACACTCCTTAAGGCAATAGGTGGGATACCAGGCTCAGTCTGCCCTCACAACCAAGGGTCCACCCAGAAAGGCTCAGAAAAAACATTAAAAGGAGTCAGCAAAATCTTACCTGTATAATACAGTGTACAGAAAGAGGGGAAATCCCTTTTCCTGAAAGCCTAGCTCTGTATGTAAATACTGGCAGATAAGAAAGTTTTTAGAAAAAATTTAAAATACACCAGCTATGTGTAGAGACCTTCCCTGGAAGAAGTGGGTCACTCCCACTTGAGTGTTGGAGTTGCACAAGATGTGATTTTCTGGACAGCCAGATTGGTGCCAATGGCTGCACTGGAGTTACTGGTACAGCACTGGCTCAGATCAGCCCCAGCACCAAGGGTTCTTCTCTGCAAGAAGAAACATCTCTAGACAAAAAATTTTCCTCTGCACCTGCCAGCTGTGTCCATTTCCTCACAACTACCCTGAATGACACCACTGCTCCTGACAGACTCACGTTCATGCCCTCCCTATCCAAGCACTCAGCCCAGCCCAGAGAATCTCAGAATGGTTTGGGTTGGAAGGGACCTTCAAGATGATCTTTTCCCATCCCCTGCCATGGGCAGGGACACTTCCCACTACACCATGTTTCTCAAAGCCCCATCCAGCCTTACCTTGAACACTTCCAAAACAGCCACTGCCCCCTCCCATCCTGGTACTAAAGGTGACTCAAAGGCTCAGACAGTGCCAAAAACAAGGCAAGGTGCAATGGGAACATATTCATTTTGACAGCCTTTGAAGATCCTGAGCAATTCCCTGTTCCTCTGGGATCTGTAAGATGCCTAATGCATATTCTATCAGGTCATGTCACTGCTGGAAGGACACAGGAGTTCCCCTCCCTCTGATTACTCCATGAAGGTTCTGCAGAGGATTTTGAGCCAGGCTTTGTCCTCCTCCTTCTTAGACAGTGGGAATGGAGGCACACTGCATTTGGCACCCACCTGGATCAATATCTCACCCAAATTTTAACAAACTGGGTCTTGGCAAGCCTGAGACTCACCTGGCACATGTCAGTGCAGCAGCCTCAGACCAGTTATTCCCTTTGATTTGGATCCCCTGGCTGCATTTGGTACTCAGTGTGCACAAACATGGGCGCACGTGGCTCCCCTGGTCCCTACAGCTTGAGGAAAGACCACTCAGGGCCACATATTTACTTCAAATTATCTCTGAATCTCTGCTTCTTTTATTGAGAAGTCAAATGAAACTCCAACTAATTTCAAATTTGAATTTTCCAGGACAATAGGAAGGCACTAGAATTTAATTGATTTGGATTACCTGCCTTATTATTATGCTGTCAGTAGCAGTAGTTCAGGTTGGTGTAATGTTACATTTACTGTGAGGTGAATCTGACATTTCTCTACTGCTGAATCGAGGACTTGAGCAATTCTTCAGCTCTTCACAAAAATGTTGTAATTAATTCAGTAACATCCCTTCTGTGAGCAGAGATAGAAAAGGAAGACACAGGAGCACCTACTCCATGCCTAAGAGCTGAATGAATGACAGCATCACTCACTCCAATCTCTGTGGAATTTACTGTAATTTTTTTTAACATTCAAGACAATTCCTACTGCAAAGACACACCTTCCCCTCTCCTGTCAGCACAAAAACAGGACTTACTAGCAGGCAATAATAACACAACCAAAAGGTCAGCTGGATCCAAGAAGTGTTTCCATCCCCTGATCAGCCCTGAGGAAATTCTTCCACAATCCGAGTTTAGCTGCTTTTCCTTGCCCACTTTCCAAGGGGGCAGAGAGTGCAGGGAAGCAGATCCCCTGCCAGTGTAAACCAGCTCTGTTCTGTTGGCTCAAAGAAAATTCCATCAGGAAGAAGAGATGCCCCATCCCATCCCATCCCATCCCATCCCATCCCATCCCATCCCATCCCATCCATCTCCTTCCTCCTGCCATGGAAGCTCAAGAAATCACCTCCCTCCTTGTCTGAGAGGAGTTTTCCCCTCTGCCTGGTCAGGAATCACTGCCCAGCTGACTCACACACTGTTTTAGTGCAGCAGAAATTAAACAGACCCATGAGCTGGGACCAAAGTCTCTATTGACAGGGATATTATTTGAGAAGATAAGATTTTTAAATGTGTGCTGCACAAGATAAAACCTGGACAGGCAGAAAATAGAAGAGCAGCTTTTTCCTTTCATTTGAGTTTTTCGAAAGCAGGATTGCCTGACATATTCAGTGCTATAACAAATACATGTTTTTAAATGGTTTAGAGCAGTTGGAAATATAAAACCCTGGAACACTTGCATTTACTTTAACTGTCTCACAGAATTAGGGGGAAAAAAAATCAGTTCCTTAATTTCAAAGCAGTTATGTCTTCGCAAGTCAAGTGTTTAAAAAACTGAATTAAATTAATGTATCCTTTTGCATTCAAGCACCAAACATTCCAAAGATGTGTGTATAAAAGCACCAGCCCTCCCAGGCTGCATGTACCTACACAGGTGCTGCATTTCTAAACACAGCGTGCAGAAGGCATTTTCAAAAGATAAAATACACCCAAAATGTTCTGCATCTGTACCTGAGAAGTTTCAGATGTGAGGAGCTGCATCCTGGGCTGGGTTTTATCCTTGGCCTGGCCCACTCAGACACAGACCCTCCAAAGCTCTCCCAGCCATTGGCTTGTCACAGCAAATGAAGATGAGTGGCTCCGGTTTCTGGACCCTGTTCAAGCCTCCCAGTGGTTGGCCAGCCTCAGAGGGACCAGATGCCTTGAGAGGCTAATCCTGCCTCTATCTAAAATGCAGACAGCTCTTTCTGTTCTTTCTGTATAGAACACTATTTTCCACCTCTATCTTCCAACTCATTGTACAAGAAAATATGTTATTTTATTTTTTTTCTTTTACCTTTTTACATTTGAGAAAAACTTTTTAAAACCTTCTGAAGCAATCTGGGGAACAGCAGAAAAAATGAAGTTCATTTTCCTACATATCTGTGCTCTTTACCCTCTACACTCTCCCCATATCCCCAACCAAATTCCCCCACATCCCCTTGGGCACCCCCAGCTCAACCAGAGGCAGCTGGAGCTGTCACAATGAACCAGCTCACCGACCCTTGGCCATCAAACCCACTCCTTTCTGCTTCTCTGGAAATGATCCCCTGCCAGCTGACAAAATCTGTGGAAGCATAGCTGCCTTTGAGACACTTACCCTGCTCTCAAATGTGATTGAAATTGGCCAACCTGTTAAAAAGTGATGGTGGTGGAAGAGAGACTGGCGAGGAGACAGATGGCAGACAGCTCAGCTTTAGCCTCCACTGAGCTGATTGAGAAGTGGGAATGCTTTCACCCTCTCGTGAAAAATGATATCACTCTTTTGCTGAAATTCAAAACTTCGTTTCCTGACATTAAAAATGTGACTTTTCCAAGTGGTCAAAATTAGGATAAAAAAAAAAAAAAAAAAAGAAAAAAGGATGTCTTGACAAAACAGCACTTGGTGCTTTGCCAAGGGATGAAGTCATTCTAAAGAATTAAAATGCAGCTGGAGGAAGGACAGGATAATCAGAACGATAAAACACAACACAGCCGGGGCCCACACGTGCTCGTACTGAGCAGTGCTGTCCCAGCAGGAGCAGCAAGTGCAGTGCTGAGCCCTTGCATTGCTGTACACAGAGCGCAAACCTGAGATTTTGCTCCCAAATCAATGGGCAGCCTCATTTGGGCCAAGCTGACCAGGTGCTGACACCAAGACCGATGGCCCAGCTGCCTCTCCCCAAATCCAGTGCCAGCAGCTCCATCCTGGTGTGTGCTGGGCTCACAGAGGGTGACAGGCAAGTCTGCCTGCAGGAATGAAACCAACCCTGGGCTGGTCAGCCCTGAACTGGGAATCAGCCTGGGAAAACCCTCCTGAGGCTGAGGACACTGCCACAAGGACAGGGTGAGGCTGCAGGAACAGCAATGTGAGTGTGGTGTTCCCAGCAGTGCCCAAATCCTCCAGAGCCATCACCAGCATCCCTCAGCACTGGGGCGTGGGGTTCCCATTCTCTGAACCTGAGAGAAGCAGGGAAAAGAATGATCAAAACAATTCTTTTGCTCATTTGCTGCTCCTGTGTTTTGGAACATGTGGAATGTGTTGGAAGATTATTTCCCTGAAGGAATTTACTTGATTGGATTGTGGTGTGAGTGTTT